AATTAGTATGTTGGTGGTATATAATGTTTACATTCACCCCCAGGCATAGGTACATGTTCTTATATCTCTTAATTCTTTTTCTTTCCCTGCATCTCCCTTCTTCCTCTTTTGTTTGTAGATCCCCTTCCCACATTTTCAATTTTTTTTTATTGCTTCATGTTTGCAAAACACAATGATTAAATGTATTGCAGGTGTTTGGTGCATGTTCACAACACATCTTAATTCTTTCCATGTGACCCTCTTCTCCCCTCCTCCCCGCTCTGCCTTTTCCACTTGCATAAATTATCTGTGCTCCTTTTATCTTTTATTTTGCTCTATACTTTATGTATACTTTGGATTTCTCATATGAGAGAAACCATATGGTAAGCTTATGTGTTTATTTCTTTTAACATGTTTTCAAGTTGCATCCGTTTTTCTACAAATGACTCAAGTTTATCCTTCTTTATAGTCAAGTACTGTATTCCATTATGTCTAGATACCACATTTTCTTTACCCATTCATATGTTCATGCACAGTCAGGCTACTTCCAAGATTCGACTATTATGAATTGTGCACATATAAACATCGGTATGCAGGTGTTGCTGTAACATGTCTTTAAGCATGGCCCTCAAGCATTCCTTAATGCCAGGCATATATTTGAATAAATAAGGCACACTTGGTATCAGAAATCTAGATATGGAGGTGAAAGAACAGACAATAAAGAAGTTAGCCAACAAATAAAAATTACAAGTTGTGAGAGAGACAGTGAGTAAAAGAAGGCCACCACACATACCCAGAGCCCCGGGTAGGAGGGAGCTTGTATTTTTTGAAGGAGGCTGTTGTGGCAGAAGCATAGAGAGCAAGAAGGAAAACGATACAAGGAATGGCAGGTCAAGTAGGCCAAGGCTGCATCTTGAGGGCTTTGTAGGCCACCAGAAGAAATTTGGAATTTACTCAGTCTGTTGCGAGTAGCTGCTAAGTGGATGGAGCACTGAACCTAAGAGGCCTGTAGCTTTGCTTATAGTGGAACCAAGTAGGCCAGGGAGTTAGCTCACTGCTGTAAGCTCCTGCCTGGCAAGCACAAGGTCATGGGTTTGATCCCTGGTACAAAACAAACAAACAAATCCCTTACAAAAATAAGAGTAAAAGAATCATGAAGAAAATCATAATTTAATCATAATTTCAATTATATAGATCCTTTGTTTTTGTTGTGAATATATATGCAGAAATTGCCAAAAAATGGATATGTACTTCAGCAGTTTATCATACTAATAAATGTCTGAAGCTAATGGCCACCACTTTGAGCACTTCTTGTAATTATAGAGGCCAAAAGTAAACTGTATTAATCTCTTGATGTCTCAATAAATTTAGTATTAAAATATTTATAGTAGTTTTTCTTTTCCTGATCTATGCATTTTTGACAAGACTATATATACACATAAACATGTGTACACATGCACACACAACCTGAAGTTAGCATTGTCTCTGCAACTGGATGTCTTATCTGCTTTTATATGTGGGTCTGGAATACGTTAATTTTTAAAATAGTATGTATTTTTATGATGTACTGCTAATAAATTCTAGCCTTGTTCTTGTACTTGTATCATAATATAATATTTGACTATTTTTAAAACCTTTTATGGCTTATGATTTTATAAAAGGGGACAGCTGTATGTTTTGCTCTATAATTCAAACATTTTCACTTTTAAATTTATAAACACCCAGCAGAATAATTATGCAATGGTTTTTGTTTTTGTTTTTTGAGTCAAGGTCTCGCTAAGTGGCCTAGTATGACCTTGAACTTGTGGCAGTCCTTCTGCCTCAGCCTCCCAAGTACTGGGATTACAGGTGTGTGCCATCACATCTGCCTCATCCAATGACTTTTTAAAAAAACAGTCTTCATCTATAATCTCCCTGTCATCTTTGTATAGCTGCCTTTAACACTGTGAAGTTTTATTTTCTTTTTTCACAATTGAACCCAGGTCTTTCACATGGACTACTTCACTAGACACTTTAATTTTGATTTTCTAAATTTTGAGATGGAGTTTCACTTAGTAACTAAATTGCCTAGGTTGGGCTCAAATCTGCAATCTTTCTGCCTCAGCCTCCCACAGTGTTGGGATTATAGGCAGGTGCCACCATGGCCAACTAGCATTATTCACCTATGAACTCTGTCAAGTAAAATTTGGCACACAGCATCATGTATGGTCACGTGTGTTTTTAGCATAATAAGATGGTTCAGTTCTTGTAGAATATTGCATGATGAAGTCCTTCGATTGAATGGCTAAAAGGGCAACTAATTTCCCTTTTGTCCTTAGATTAATGGTGTTCATTCACCAGTTTTGTTTTGTTTTGTTTTTAAGGTAGTAAGATTTTCCATTTATTAAAGGTAGGAAAAGAAGTGTGAGGCTGGGGATTTAGCTCAGTGGTGGCATAAGTGCCCGCTTGGCAAGGATGAGGTTGTGAGTTCAATTCCTGGTACAAAAGAAAAAGCTCCATAGAGCATGTTTGGGCCAATAAAAATAGGAAAAGAAGTACGCTCTATAGGGTAAGAGTGGACCAGTGTGAAAGCGGGAGTGGCCCCCCTCGTCACTTCCTGAGTTTGAGAAAATTCATCTTATTGCCATCTGGAAACCCGTAGTCTTAAATTTTGCTAGTACAATCAGCTTTATCTTCATCATTACAGTCGGTTGTGCTGCCATTTGTCTCTTTGTATTCATCTTCTGATTTGTTTAAAAACTGTTTAGTTTCTTTCATTTGCCATTATAGATGGAAACTTTTTAAAAACCGTATATATTCCAAACTATGTTGAACAAAAGCCAAGCTGTCGATACAGTGCTTTCCATCATTCATCCCATATTGATCGATGCAGTGCTGGAGGTGTGCAGTAAGAAAACTGAAGGACAGCGCAGTAGTGACGCCTGGCTTTATTATTACAGTATCCTTCGCGGGGGCTCATCGTTTTCCTTAGTATAGTCTTTGTTTTCAAAGCATAATTGTAAGTAATTCAAGAACCAGAAAAATGTGCTTGGTTAGGAGCATGTGTTGAGGCCCTAAGTTCAAAGTCTAGCACTGCAAAAATGAAAACAACTAAACCTAGAAAAAAATGAGGTATACATCCATATGATAATTGCTAGAATGGGTCTTATTTTATTTTTTACAATAATATACAACACAGTGTTTTTGTTTGTTCTTCAAAAGATTCTGAAGAGAATAAAATTATAAACTGGAATACTTCCCCAATAGTAAAGAACTGCTTCAAAGAGAAAGTAAAAAAAGAAAAAAATTGGATTCAGTGGACGCCGATGTTATACCAAGGACTAAGTTGCCCTGAAACATGTAATGACTATATTAATGAGGCTTTTAACAGGAGTGATCCTTAGGCTTGTAGAAGTTCGATCCAGCTTATGTCTTCCTGTTCCAGTCATCACCTTATCTGTGCAGCATGGCAAAAAGAATGATTTAACTTCTTCTGATATGTGGCACGTGCTTCCTCTACTTGTTCATTCTATTTGTAAGAGCCCTGCTTTATCTCTGTGTTCTACTCCAAGCTACTTTTCTCGATCAAAGCCCTAGAGCGGTTAGCTGTTGAAGTGAGGTGCATCTCTGTTGAGCACAGGGCACTGCCAGCGTCCCAGTTGGGAAGGATCTCTGAGCGATGTGTTTGCCAAGCACGATATCATTGTGTGCAGGCATTGCAGGAGTTTGCCAAACTCAAATGTAAGCTGCCAGTACAAATGCCACGTTGACATGACATTTACAAGTTTAGAATTCGGAGAAGAACTGGCACTGGAACACCCCTCAGCTGCCTCATTTAGGGCAGCAATAACTGGGCCAACTTTTGATTTTTAAACTCAGAAGTGAGAGTCAGGAAGCAATACTTTACATGAGTTTGAAGCTAGCACTACAACTTTTCCTGGGAAATGATAAATCCATTTATCCTGTTCCTGGGGTGCAGAGTAGACCATAGTGATTAAGCATTATGACTCTAGAATCAAACTTGGATTTGAATGAGACCCTTTTGCTTCTTGAGCAAGTCACTGAATCTGTTTGATCAATTTTAAGCCCCAGTTTCCCATCTGTAAACAGGGAAGGCCTAGTGTGGTGGTGCATGCTTGTAGTCCCAGCACTTGGGAGCTGAGGCAGGAGGATCATAGCAAGTCTGAGGCCAGCTTGAACTATATAATGAAACCTTAACTCAAAACAAAACAAAACAAACAAGGATAATAATGTCACTTCCTCCATATGATTTTCAGATAGATTAATATATGTAAAAGCAAAAGCTCTTACCATTTTCTTTAGAAACTCATGAGAAATTTATTTCAGTTATTCTCTTATTTTAGTAATAAGTAGATGGAAAGTGCCAGGGACATATAACACAACATAAATTTGTGTGCTGACTCTCTCTGCATTGAAATTAGTGGACTACTATGCACAGATCCCATAGTTTTAGTTTTCTTTGCCCGTTTAGGAAAATTTAGACCTGGAATCAGAGTCACTGAGTATATAGCATTTCTACAGTTTCTTAGATGCAGAATCCATTTGGCTGTTAATATTTCACCTCTGCCCGGTGTGGTGATGCGCACGTCAGTAACTGAACTACTTGTGGGGCTGAGGAAGGAGGATTGCAAGATCAGAGCCAGACTAGACAGCTTAGGGAGCCCTGTCTTAAAGAGGGCTGGGGATGTAGCTTAGTGGCACAGCAGTCCCCTGGCACACTCAAGGCGTGGGTCCACCTACAGTACTCACAGTAATAGCAACCCTTTCACTGACCTAGGACTTCTCTATGACACATTCTTGTACAAAACGAAGACCTAGAGCTATTTTGAAGGATGTGCTTTGGCTTATTTGAAAGAGTTTGTTCTTTATTTGACATAGGAAACTTGGTCTTAAGTCTTCTAAATAACAGACTTTTATGTGCTGCTTTTATAAAACACAATCTTCAGCAGAAGATTTAGTGCTATTTTCATTGGTAAGTTCTCCCAAATAATAAAATTCTTCCTCCTTCCCTTTGTTTTCAGGTCGCCAAGGCTCCTTCGGGCATTTTATGTCCCCTTCCTATCAGATCAATATACAGTGTATGCAAACTACACCATCTTCAAATCCCGGAAAGCAAAGCAAGTCAAGAAGAAAAGTGGAGGTTAGCAACATGTTCTTGGCCTCAAAGGACGACCATCTTGTTCACTGGCACTCCACTGACCTGACTCCCTGCAGCACATCACCTGTAGTATTTTCAATAAAGGTCGTCTGACATGAGTAGAGCACTCTGGCCGCTTGGGGCTGGTCAAAGTATTTCTTCCAAAGTCTAGTCAAAGTTACATTTGCCTCTGTGTCTCTTTTCTGCATGTAAGCTTTGCAGATAGGCATAAAAAGGCCCTAAAGCACAGAGAGATACATTGCTACACATCTCATTGTTTTTTTTCTGTTCAATTATTTATTAGACCGAAGAAGAGCAGAACCAACTTACAGGAAGATTTGAAAATTCCTGGACTGGACGGCTGAGTTAAACTCCTGTTCACACTGTGGCTTGGCATTTGAGAACTAGCAAGCCTCTCATAGGCCAGGTGGGCTTCTCCATCTAAGCTGTTTCACAGCTCCAGCTATCTTAGTGTTCAAATCCTAGTGCTGAAAATGAGCCCAGCTTTGTTGCTAACAACATGTCCTTTTTCACCTCCAGCAAGACTAAACTTCTGTAAAGCTCTTCACAGGACCAGGAACCTGTTCTGGAGCATCTCAGGAAAAAGGCAACCATTTGAGGAACTGTCACATAATTTTATTATATGTGATGCCTTTAATTTCAATTTTTTTTCTTTACCACCAACTTCAACTATATGGCTATTTTATGTTTTTCTTTTAAGTTTTAGCATATAGTATCTTGAGTTCCTGACTGCTCTGTATAAAGTATCACCAGACTAACATATAGTAAGACATTCTTAGAGAAATTAATTCTACCAATTGGTAGATTTGGATGACATCACATTTTTAAATAATGTATTTTGAGACCATTTCTGAGGAAATTGGGAACGCTCCTAATGAGGAAGACCAGTGTTTATTTATAGCCTGTTTGTCGGTTCTGCACATTCTGCAGGGAGTCCTCCTCAAATAGACGACGAGGAGGACTCATTACAGTGTGTAAGTGTATAGTCCTACTTTACTTTTATCTACAGTATTTCACAGTTTACGAGGCACTTTCCCGGTATCTCATTTGAACGTCACAATCAGAACCAGAAGTAGATAACCGGTGATTTTATCACCGTTTTACAGATGAGAAAACAGCCTACAGACAGGTGGGAAAGTGAGTGGCCCAAGGACACACAGCCAATAAACAGAGCAGCTGGGACCTGCACCTGAGCTGCTTACCCTCTCGTCTCACTTGAAAGAATGATGAAGCTGACGAGGGAGCTGACTGGTACTGTACCGTTCTGTTTCAGAGAACTGTATCTACATTTCTTGGGTTCTTTGGAGCCTCAGGTTGTCCTGTTAGGCCGCCACAGCAGTGCTGCATATACAATCAGTGCCGTGGCGGGGAAGTGGCCTCCCTTTGCAGGTCTGCTCCTTTCACCCACAGAGCACCCAGCTCTATCTGTACTATCCCTTTCACTCCTCTAGGGTTACTGTTTAGGTGCCTTATTTCTGTAAGAGTAATGTCTGAAAATCGAATGGATCTATTTTTTAGAATTTTCCATCTTTCATCTTTCAAAGAGAAGGACTTTTTCATAGGAACTGATCTCGAGAGAGGGAGAGAAATGATAATGGGACAAATGGGTGATTAATTACGAAAACTCTTCTTGGGATCATCTCTGAGGATTATCATTTTTTGTTGTTGTTGTTAATTTTTTTTTTTTAATTTTTTTTGGTCTTTTTTCTTTTTATCGGTACCAGGGATCGAACTCACGACTGCCTGCTTGCAAGGCAGGCGCTTATGCCACCAAGCTAAATCCCCAGCCCCTGTTGTTGTTAATTTAAGGAATATTCTGAGCTGGAGTTAAAGCATCGGAAAGGTGATAGGTCCAATAACTGGGAAGTAAACTGGAGCTCCACTTGTTTGAAAAATCTCTAGCTTTTAATTTTCGATACTACTTGGTTGCTGTTTTCCAAAGCAAATAGTAGGTATGTGATCTGATTCCAGGGCAGAGGACTGTAAGCGAACTGTCTTGCCTTTTTTACAGTAATATCATACTGTCCTTCACCGCAGCTACAACTACTTTTTGCAGGGATAAATAAAGACTCCAGTAACGGAGGTCAGGGAAAGGTTGTGTTTGTCTAATCAGACTGCTACAGGACTGGAAGTATAGCTCCCTGGTAGATCATGTGCTAAGTATTCATGGAGCCCGGGGTTTGATACCTAGCAAACACACGTGCACACACGTGCATGCACACAAAATAATACTGTGCTAATCTATGTTATCATCTTGCTTGTTTAAAAAAATGAGTTTCAAAACACCTGGTCAGAGTAGCATTTTTTCCTCCAAAGAATCTTCAGCATGAGCTACTTTGTGCACCATAAGTACATCAGTACTGATTACTCCTTAGTCTGCAGGGTATTGAATTAGGAATTAGAGATGACTGGGACACCCTTTGATTATGGCTCAGTGAGGGAGTGGGTACACTTGCCAAATCCAAGATTCTCCGATCTCCAACTCTATAGTAGCCTTATCTGAACCCAGATCTTGTGACACTGAGTACCATTATGAACCTGTCTGTGTGGCAGGCATCTGTTGTCAAAATTTACTTCTCACCTGGTAGGTGTCATCTGATAAAAAAGAAGACAGGTCATTTTAATCTTGGGATAACCATGAAAAGCTGCAGCCTATACTCCTTATTACTGAATTAAGGTTTAGAAGCAGACTGATTGTTTTAAAATTAAGGTGGTTCTTGATCCCAATCACTCATTTAGGTCATTTCTCTCTGATGTTCTGGGAAAGAAGTTTGAAAACCCTGTGTAATTCTGCAGCATGAGATACAGGGTGGCTGTTCGCTAATGCAAGTCCTTTATTGTGTTTTACATTTCCTGGAATTTATTGAAATAAGAATTCACAGTGATTGTACACTCTTCTGGCCAGGCCCAGGCAACTTGCTTTTAATTTGGTTAATTTTATTTTCTCTAGAGAGAAAAGAGGCAAATTAAGTCTTTGCCTCCAGAGACCATAGTAAAGCCCCTGTGGTATAAGCCATTCCTCGTCCTACACTAAATGCCCTGAGTCAATGGATAATGGACATGTGCTCAGCTTTAACTTTTAATTTTTTTTTTCATCAGAAATATCAAACTTCTGTAGGGCATTGTTGGGAGTTCCGAGGCGCTCTGGTATATCTGTAAATCTGAATGTTGCCTTCAACTTTTCTAATCTTTGTAACCTTGTGATTTATGCTGTGAATGAAATCAGAAAGCAGTACACTGTTGAAGCAAGTGTATTACGCAGTTCATTTGTCTTTCTGATCCTTGTACATTACTTTATGTATCAGTGTTTACATTGCGTACATGCTATATTTTCTGTGAAAGAGAAAGTCAATAAATCTTGGCAGTTTGATTTTCCTTTTAAATCTTTGTTGGAAATCGGAGAATGACAAGAGCTCAACTCCTGTTCCCCCATCCTCAGCCCCTGGTGCCTTGCTTTCCAGAGGCCAAATAGCCGAGCACCTTTATTCTGAAATTTTTGGGAAGAAGCCTTTGAAAACCTAGTGAGGATTAGTCTTAAAAATTTTATCTTTGGAAAAACCAAGCACAGGTAGGAATTATTTAATAGTTGACTATAATGCTGAGAAGAGATGAGGTTCATAGGTATATCTTAGGTGGATTGAGAATCTCTGGACCATGAAAATACAATTTCATATGTTCATATAACTGGAAATCCTGATCCAGTTCTATCTGACATTTGAGTAATTTCTCTCCTTTGTCAGGAGGAATACATTTTTTTTTATCAATGAGTTTCTAGCATCATTCCTGTACTTTCTGCCGTATACCCAGTAACCTCTAGGTGCCATCTGGTTTCACACTGTTAGTTATTCTCTTTACTCTAGGACCCAAGAAGCCCTTGATTCTTATTTGGACTTCTCCCATGTTACTTTAGAGGGATGCTTTTAGTTCCAGGAGGGAAAAACTCAAAACCTTAATTTATTTACCCTTTCTAGGATGCCATCTTTGTCTCTGTTTTTCTGTTACTCTGCTGTCTGAGCTGAGTCTCTTTTAAGAAGCCTTTGTAGATGCAGACCCATATTATCACTTCTTTTTCTAAATTCTTTTTGAATGTAAAGTGTCTTTACAAAAAGTATAGAACCTTAGTGCTTAACTTTTTAAACCTGTCTCCCCAAAACATTTTTAACACATCTGGGACAAACACCGTGTCACACTTCTGTGTGTTTCCAGGGCTCCATTCAGGTTCCCGAGCATTTTGGTAATGTATGTGTTCATTGATATGAAGTAAAAATTAAGGTGCCTCAAACTAAAATACAGCTTGTTGGCGTGGATTTTTAGACCACAACAAATACAGCAAGTTGTAAATCCTATAATATCCCAAGGTCAATTTGTGAATGATGCTTAATATGTGCAGAGTTTAGCATTCTAAGCATACAAGCTTTCTCACTAAAGTAGATTCTTCAGAGTAGCTTCGGAAAAGAGAAAGAGACTTCTGTTACTTGATGTTGGAAGATCAGACCTAGCACAAGGGACCTTTTACATAAGCCTGGGCCAGACAGCCTTTCCTGCAGTTGTAAAGAGTACTTACCCATCCCGTGTGCTGCTAGAGAAAGAAAAATCCAACTGCAAGATGACTTTGTAGTCATATATTTGGATTGAACCGTAAGTAGTGGACAGTGAATTTTAAAATGGAAAGTTGGGCCAGTCGTGGGGCATCCTGTAATCCTGGCACTTGGGAGAAGCAGGAGGATCGCTGTGAGTTCCAGGCTATCCTGGCTACACCGTGAGGCCACGGTTAGCCTGAATCGTGTATGAGAGCCTGTCTCTGAGTGAATGAATAAATAAGTGAACAAACAAACAAATGGAAAGTTGTTTCTTCAGCTGTGAAATTCAGCATAGATTTGATGTAAACAAGTTATACCCTAACAGATTAGGAACTGAAGGAAATGAAAGACATTGAGACTATGGAACTCCAGTGGTGAGGACCAACTGGAAATTTCCTGTTGTTACTTTGTAAAACAATTAGCATGTGGTGACTTAGAAGTTGGGTTTAAGTCATATTTTACCTGAGAAGGAGCTTTCATTTATTTATGATTTGTTTTCTTAACATTCACAACATAGGGAGAGATTATGATTTTCTTTTTTTTGCTAGCTTTTGGGTTTGCCTGTCATTCCATGCTTAGAGATAAAAGTAGACCAGGTGACTTTTTTTTTTAAACCAGGTGACTGTTTGATTGCAGCCAAAGAATGTACTTTTTAGGTTTCATTTGACTAGAGTTTTCCTGAGGCTGTGGATTCTACATATCACCTGTCTTGGGAGGGCTTTTTGATCTGTGTTTGGTGACTGGTGTTCTTGCCCTTTGGTTTGTCACTTTAACTAATATTCCCTAAGTTTTCAAATGTGAAGGGCTTGGTTTGTTTACCAGCGGCTTCAGCAGCACTGTGCTCAGTGCTGGAGGAGTCGTGATATATAAAGCACAGTTCTCAGCCAGTGCTGCACAAGACAGTCACGTGGAGACCTTTAAGACTGTCATTCTCTGGTTTACCCCAAGAATTCCAAGTTAGTAGCTAGGTGGGGAGATGTCCCATCACTGTTTTTAACTCCTTAAATAAATTAGCTGGGGCTGGAGATTTAGCTCAGCAGCATAAGCGCCTGCCTTGCAAGCAGGCAGTCATGAGTTCGATCCCTGGTACCGATAAAAAAGAAAAAGACAAAATAATAATAATAATAATTTGACTAATGTGTGGCAAGAACTGAACACTACTGCTTTTGATAAAGACTGAGAGTCAAACCAGGCATGCTGCTCTGTGCCTGTAAGCCCAGCACTCTAGGAGGAGGAGGCAGGAGGATTGCAAGTTGTAATTTAGCAAGATGCTACCTTAGAATCAAAGTGCTGGGGATGTAGCTCAGGTCAGAAACCTTGGTACCAACAAAAAACAACCTAAGAGGCAGACGTCACAATGAAGATCAAGCATGACTCAGTTGGTAGAATGGTAACGGTTAAAAATTCTGTCCCCTGGTCACCCAGGCCACTTTCTCTATTTAAGCTTCTCAAAACGTATCTGCCCTCTCATTCCCTCTGGGCCCTGCTTGTTGGGAAACAGTTAACTAATATGACACAGAAACAGCTAATGAATGTTAATAATTTACTACAGTTCTGTTCCCACTGACCCTGTGCTCTTGAAATGATGTCACATCTTGAAAAAAAAGAAAAGACTTACCATTTTTAACCAACTTGAGACCCAGCTAGTACCGACTCAGTGATTGTTAGGCAGTGGAAACCGTTTCAGCAGCTAGGCCCTACATTCAAGCAGTGAGCGAGGCCTTCAGCCCTGCCACTGGGCACGGCTTGGCCTACTCAGGTAAGACCTACGGCTGTCTGGAGTAGCACAGTGGAGACTGTGTGGGCACGGAGCCTCCTTCCTGCTCAGGAGGCCCTGGCAGAGCTCCTAGGCACTTAGGCACTTAGCTCTGTTCAAGACAAACAGAGTGAAGACCCTAACTTGGCGCTGTTGCTTTGCTGCTGGTCCGCAGAGACAGCTTCTCTGTGGCCGCTAGTTTGCTCTCAGCCAAGAGCAAAGCTGAATTCCATTTTCAGAGAGATGACCTGAGATGTGCCCAGTGACTCACCAAAAAGTCGGCGTGTAACGCTCAGGAGTCGGTCTCCTTTCATCACCTGCTTCGCAGTGTCTGTACGCTTCCTCGGGATTTCCTATGCTGTGGTTAACGTGTTCCCCTTCTCTTCTTGCCAGTGAAACTTTGGTGGACATGCGAAAAAAGAAGCTGATTTTTCAGTGCTTCGTTTGTAAACAGACTGTAACTGAACCTCTCCCCTTTCCTGGTCCTTTGTCAGAATTTGTGTTCTCACAGTGTATGCTTACTGGATAGTCTAAAAAATAGCACTGGAGTTTAAAGTTGCTGCCATGTTTTTCCGTTTTGTTTTTCTATACTCCTGCCTGACAGCTTCGGCAGCTCTGGCCTGCAGTGCCATCAGGAAGCTCCCCTTGTGTCCAGCAGAGGGCGTCTTACTCCATGAAAAATTACAGCGCTCTTTCCCTTCAGCAACTTGACAGCTGCCAGTGGCGTTTGTCATACTCCTGTAATTCCAGTATAAGCTGAGCTACATTTTTAAAGTGTGTATTCCTACATGACACTCATGCTATAGTCACAACATCTTTTGCAGAAAACCAGATCATAAAACTGCACATAATAGTACATTCCAATATTCAAGAGGCTGAACTAGGAGAATCACCAGTTCAAAGCCAGCTTGGACTACATAGTGAATTCGAGGGCTTCCTGAACCATATAGTTTTGAGACAGGAGACCCTGTCTCAAAATCAAAACCAAAAAAAGTCAGTCATGGTGGTACACACCTGTAATCCCAACACTCAGGCTACGGCAGAAGGATTGCCTCAAATTCGAGACCAGCCTGGGCTCCAAAGTGAGTTCAACGCAAGCCTGAGCCATATAGTGAAACCCTGTCTCAAAAAGAGCAAAATGATAAACACCCAAATGACAGCTTATTAGTGGAGAAGCACATCACAGCAGTGGTTGCCTGATTGGTAGACAGTGTAGAAGTTTATTTCAGTTCTGCCTGCCATGACGTTGATCGTGCCTGTAGGTAATTTACATGCTGGGTGAGCTACTCTTAGGGACAAATACCAACCATTTCCCCATTCTAACTTTCCGTATATGAGCAAGCTGTATTAAATACACATTCCTACCTTTACCTCTACTCACTTACTGACATTGTCAAAGGCAACCCAAAGGATACAGGAGCCCAGGAGTCTGTCCTTTGGATGCCAACACATCATTACAGAGCAGTGCTTGTGGAAGGGATTGACATCTAGCAAGGCCTGAGCCCTGTGAAGTGGAAGGCCTCAGAATGCCTTCCATAGCTCCCACGCCTAGCCATGCAGTGAAGAGCCAGCATTTGCCAAAGGAAATATAATTAGCATCTTAGAAGTATAGGATCACTACCTAGGCATATTTGAGCCTTGAGGAACAAGGTCAGTTCTCCCAAAGGAAATTCCCTTCTTCATGTACGTGACACCTTTGTGTTTGATCTTAGAGATTGTATGGGCTTGGAGCTAGAGTTTTGTTTGTGTAGACTGATGGATTGATGGATTTGGTGTGAGGACTGAACCCAGTACCTTTGCACAGATTTCTATCCCTGTCCCATGCCCCTTTTTTGAAACAGGGTCTTGCTAAGTTGCCCGGGTTGGACTTGAACTTGTTATCCCCCGCCTCAGCTGCTGAAACTCAGGACTGAGCCACTCTGCCTGGCTTTTTTTTTTTTCCCACAGATGTACCCTCTAGACCAGATTTGTTCTGTGAAGAAATAATACAATACTAGCTAATGGTTGCTAAACATATGGCCTGGGGATGGGGCTCAGTGGTAGAGTGCTTGCCTACAATGCAAGAGTCCCTGGATTCGAGCCCCAGCACTGCCAAAGGAGAAGAGAATTGTCAGGAGTGTTTTAAACTGCCTTTTCTCTCATAGACTTTAAAGACAAGCTTATGAAGTGATGACTAATTGACCTTTTTTTATAGATGGGGAAACATGCTCTGAGATGTTATGGCTTCACCCAAGACATCCCCAGTAGAAAGTTGCAGACCAGGATTTAAACCCAAGGAGCCTAGGGGCTGGGGATGCAGCCCAACAGGTAGAGTGCTTGCCTGACTTGCTGGAGGCCCTGTTTGCGTTCTAGCATCCAAACAAACAGGGAAACACTTCAGAGCCTGGTTCCAGAAGCTCTCAGTTTAACCATGACTTTATATTCTCTACTTCATGACCTTTCTGTTGTTTCTTGGGGTTTTTTTGTTGCTTGTTTGTTTTTCAGACAGGGTCTCACTGCAGTTCAGATTGGCCTTGAACTCACTATGTAGCTCAGGCTGGCCTCAAACTTAGAGCAGTCTTCCTGCCTCAGCTCTGGAGTGGTGGGGTTACAGGCATGTACCACCATGCCTGGTTTGTTTTGCTGCTGTGGCTCTAATGCAGGGCCTCACACATGCTAGACAAGTGCCCTACTACTGAACCATACCCCAAGCCATCATGACGTCTTTGAAGTCCACATTCCTTGACTTCCTTTCTGAATGGTGTGGTGAAGAGCCTGAAAGGACTTGGTGACAGAAAGAACAGGATCCAGTCAGGTCATTTCACTTATTTATCACCTTAATTCACTTCTAGTAACCACAGCCTGAAGGTTGTCCTCGGATGACACAGGTACAGATTGTACATTCGGTCTTGACAGGGACTTCTAGAACACTGAGCCCACCGAGTGAGATCAAAGAGGGAGCTGATTGCTAAAGTCCTGGACATTGGGGGAAATACAATTTCTGGGTATAGCTTTAGCTGGCTTTCAGCCACGATCTGAGCAGCACGTCCAGGGAATCTTGGCACTAGTCCCTTCTTAACTCCTTGACTTTCCTCCTAGTACCCCACAGGGCAGATCCGACAAGGCAGTGGGAGACCATGTTCGGGGGAGACTACAAGCAAAAGCTTTCAGAGGAGCAGGAATATTTTAAGTAACTCTGCTTTTACAAAATCAAACCGCACTGGGCATGGTGACGCACACCTACAATCCCCATACTTGGGAGGCTGAGATAGGAGGATTGTTGAGAGTTTGAGGCCAGCCTGGATTACAAAGGGAGCCTCTGTCTCAAAACCAAATCAAATCAAAACAAAACAAAGCAAAGCAAACCTCTGTCTAGCTAGCGCCTGTAGGCAGTGTGCTCAACGCCGAAAGGTGCTACTTAGGTTGTCTAGGTCTGGTTCAAGACAAGGCGATAAGAGGCTTACAAAAACAAGAGAGAGGAAGGAAATCTGGACTCTGCCCTGCAGACATAGCAGGACTGGAC